CTATACAAGAAGTCTATCGCTTGATGACATCGATTGACGATAAAATCGCAACGCGTCGCGAACATTTCATTAAAAATCGGTGTAATTAAATGGTTAAATTAAAAGTATAATGCGCTCGAGTGTGAAGGACGCGATTCGCGATATGGAATATGACCGATGCGATCTCGTTCACGTCGTTTTGGCGTCTGAATCAAGATTTTTCATTAGAAAAAGCAAGTCTATCTCACGATTGAAGAAAAGAAAAACGTAGACTTTTTGAAAGTTGCTTCTAAACGTGGTCACAAACGTTTCAGAAAATTGTGCAGAAATTTTAAAACTATAACTCTCACGTAAGGAAGCTGTAGCAATTAACAAATATGACATTTTAAATTTAGAGGTAATTTCTTAAAAGTTATGGAATTCTTTTACCTCTGAATATTTTCAAATGCATTTAATTTATACTACGTTACGGCACTTTTATGCATGCAAATTTTATCGTAGATTGCATTATTCGATATCTCATCTGCAAATGCTCAAAGTATGATTCCTTCGGATTTCTTTGACGGCCGATGATTTTTTTTCAATGGCATAAAAGTCATGCGAGTGATCGCGAGATTATTCGAGGCGAATCTAGGTTTAAGCATATCAAAGCGAAGATATTAAATGCGAAAATAAGCTTGGCTGGACTACAACGTGACGCCATAAAGGGCGTTCGGCAGACGACGTTTCGATCAGAGCAAACTCGCAATTACGCGCGTTCCTATCGTTGCCAATAAAATGCTATTTATCATGGCAGAGAGGATAGAAACTTTCGTAAATCCCGAAATAACCGGTGAGTCGATCTGATACACGTTTTCGCGTGCACGGCTGACGTTCATGAACGAAATGCTTCTCCTCGACGTAGAAATTATTATGCAATTATAACGAATCTGACCGCCGCATACTTTTGCGGAACCGACAAAACCGCCGAGTGTATTACCCGATGCAACGTTTGCCGTTGTAGAAGAACTGTGAAAATTACTGAAAAAGAAAAACGAGCCGATAATAAGTAGAATTTTTCTGTAATCCGAACGAACGAAGACATAATTTATATTCCTCAAAAAATTGCATATAAGAATATGAAGCATTTTGGATATTGAATATTTATACATCCATAAATCCTTCTCTCAAACGAATTTAAAGCTCGTCCGATACTCTTTCAATAAAAATGTTTCACTAATGTCAATGCAATTTGTTAAACGGTGTCATGATAAATTAAACTTTAGATTAAATTTCTAGATATCCTAATTAAAACTACTTTAATACAATCTTTTATTTTTTTTTTATCGAATAATACTTTCTTTTGAACAAAATATTTTTTTCAGAATTTGTATTTTATTTAATTCAAAATTATCAAAACTTTTCTAATTCCTAATCTTATCATATTATAGTGTCATTAATGAATACATGTTGATATTCCTACAACACAAAATTATGAAATTATTCTTTTTAATATATCTCATATGAAAAATATCAGCGATTGAAGAATTCTATAAAAGAAAACAAATTAGACAAAAGTGTTATATTAATTATTTGATAACTCGCATTATACAGATTTGGATTTTTCTTCATGAAAGAACCGGCAAAATTAACGCAAATTCGCAGAAACGCGTGATAAATTCATAGCGGCGGAAACAATCGAAAGGCAAAGGCAGGCGAATTAAGTGGCGCTCCCTTCAAAGCATAAACAAGTGTTAGGGACGTGAATGGGATCACGTAAAAAACAGATTTCCACCCTCGGCAACGCGGACGTTCTCGCGCACGAAACACGATTTCAGACGGGCGGTCGTCAGGAAGGGCGGGAAAAGGGGATAGGGACTAACGTCATAAGCGATCCCATGGGCTCGTCAGGAACGATCTTATGATTGACCGCGTTACGCCACTCCCTGAAGACCGTTTTTCAAAAGCTATTTCGGAAATTCCGCCGCCATCAACGCACTTCAACGAGAAACATCGTAAAGAGAAACACTTTAAACTATATTACTAATTCCAAGAAGCATTTATTATCTTAATTTATTTATCTTATCTACAATTTTTTTATAGCATGTATTTTTGAAAAGAAAAATGCCGTAAAGAATATCGTATTCATTCTTTATAAAAATCAAGCAAATCTTTGTTTAAAGTTTTTAAAAAAACCTTGTAAAAAATTAAAACTTCCATTAGACAACGCGAAGTAAAAAATCGGGACATAATACGTCTTTAAGATGTCTTTAAAATATGTCTTACGGTCCGATTTTGAATTTTGTGTTGTCTGGAATATTTTAATCATTTGTATTATCTTATAGAAAATTATAAACAAAAATAATATAAAATAAAGAAGTAATAGAAATAATCAAATTATTACAATCATGTTACTTTAGAATGTTACTTTTAGAAAGAAACCATATTAATTTCAAGTTTTTCAACTTTGTGCAACTGTTAGAATTTTGCTTACCTTTCTTTTCATCCTCCTCCTCTCCGTGATCAGCAGCATGATGCAGATGATGTACGGTGGGATGATGACCAGTAATCGCTGGTACCAAAGAATGATTGCTCAATGTCGGATGTGGGTGATGCGGATGATGATGACTGAGGAATCTGACAGCCGCGGCAGCGGCCTGGTGCTGGGCCTGCATACTTTGCTGGACCTGGCTCTGCACCTGACCCAAAACTGGATGATGCGGCGGCCATCCTGCCAAGTGAAACGGAAACACAGGCGTCGTCCTTTGAAACAATCTGGTCGGGGCCAACAAGGATCCTCCGGAGGCGCTGGAGCCGCTGCCGGGTGGCAACGGAAAGGACAGACCGCCTCCAGGCTCCAGGACCATCTTTGGTACCAACTCGCCGGTGTTGGTCTCTCCCACGGAGAGTGATCAATCCGCTCGCATCAATCCTCGAGATCAGCGAAACGCGAAATTACCAAGAGAAAAAGGAATCACTTGATCACTGGCACATTGAAATCATGTGTCTGTCAAGCGAGATGCGAGATGCGAGAGATACAGGATGTCTGACGCCGTTAGATATTTCCAGTCAACGTACTATAGTTGACGTCTTCCATTTCAGGTTTTTTGGAACATTTTTTCAGGGTTTTTGGAACACTGAGCAAGTCTATAAATCATCATTCCCTATATGTGCCACTCGTTTGTGATGATCATTAAGATGCTTGTGAAAACATCGATCTCGTTGTTTCAAACGGGTCTTTACATCTCTCATTCTGAGTCTTTTAGATCATTACACATATCCATCTCAAACGCCGATCTTCTCGAGCGATGATTTTAAACAACGATGATTCTGAACACAATCCAAGATTGTTGTTATTGTCTTCCCAACGTCAGTATCTTATATATATCCTTGATGTTTTGTGACGTTTTTGAGATTTATACATCAATCTTGCGGTCCAAAATGTCAGTAACAATATTTTACATATTTTATAATTTTTTATATACTAAGCTGTTTGTCGAATAGATAAAATTTCACCAGCCGTCGGCCAATTTAATAATGTTTTCGCAGCTTTTAAATAGCCTTTCTATCTAAGTTCAACCAATATCACAATTCAGGATGTAATGTCTCGATTATATATCCATAATCAACGACCCCAAATGTCGATTTTACCATGTACGAATGTAACAAATCTTTCACTTGTCAAACTTGTTAATCAAAGTTTGACAATCTTCAACAATAACAATCTTTTTGCAAAAGTCCATCATAGTCTCTGATCCGTGATATCACTGGGAGTCTCACGATCCACGAAAACGAGCTTTTCGATGTATTCCAATATTCAATGCACGCTGCGATCGAATCACCGAATTACGCACATTTACGACACTTTCTCAATCACAACACGTCACCGGAGAAATTTCCGGATTCTCGCGATCCTCGGGTACATGCGCGTGACAGGCGGGTCTCCGTGATTTCCTTGGTAGCAAGGACCTGCTAGTATTAAAAGCACTACGGCATGAGCCAACGGCACAATACTATCTGCCCAGAGACTCGAGTCAACGACTCCCCTCTGTCCGCAGAACTGAAACTAGTTTCAGGATCCGCCCAAAGGTACCTGATTGGCTGAGCCCGTGGCAGACTCGTGGGTTACACGGAATATTGGACCAATGCGGACGCGGGAATTATACGGACGGTGCCGCCTGCCGGACGCTTTTTTCATCCTGGAATTGAATCGACGCCTGCTTGTGGTATTTGGTGGGGGCGAATCAATTGGTGGCTGCCCTGAAACAGGCCGCAAGATGGCTCCTCCCTTCCCATAGCCGCTACGAGATACTCTTGCCGATCTCATCGGCCAAAGCACTTGGATTCGAACAGAGTTGAATTCGTCGTAATGGACAAGCAATATATATATATATATATATCTCAGTGAATTGTGCGATTGTTTATTTCCCAACATTCTTGTCTCGCTTTTGTCCATCTTTTTCCAAATAAAAGTTTTCGAAATGCTTATTTTGAATCTTTGGCTTACAGACGCAAAATAATTTAAATTTTATTTACCTAATTCAAAATTGCGTTCAATATCAGTTAGAGAAACATATGCAAATTAATTTAGCGCCAAAAATATATCAGAGAAAAGGTAATTCAATTTATATAAAAATAAATATTTTATTTCTTAATTATTATTGTTAATATAAATGCCTTTTGTCATATCCCTACATTAAAAAATCTTGAAATTCTTGATGTCTGATATCACAGATGATATTCCATATGGAATATCTTATTGATAAAATTAATAAAATAGAATATCCTTCTCGGGTCTCGAGTGGACGGATGAGCTCGCGAGGAAGACACCCCCACGATCACATACCACCACTCCCGTGGCAATCCCCACTCCGAGAGCTCTTCCACCCCTCCAACCCCCGAGGGCGCGATCCTCTTTTAATAAAAGGAGCTCGGAGGCGTTAAGTAATTACATCTATTCTCTGCTGGGGAGGAAATTACCTGCGCTGGGTCGGTGTGGGAAAAATTGGGAAATTAAAATTAACCCCCACCCCAGCTAAACCGCGCGCGCTTGCTCGCCTGTTCTGCCCCCTTTCTCGGATTGCGCGCTCGACCGGAACACTTCGTTCTCGAATTTAGGAGGAGCCGGCGGCCATTACCGCTTACGTAATCTTTTTTGCACAGTGACGGCGGCAGCTTGTTAGCGAAGTTATTTAGCACGCGATTCGCCCCCTCCCGTTCGTCGACGAGAACCGAGAGAGCCAACTCATCTATCATCTCTGGATATTGTTGCCGGAGTAACACTAATAAAGGACAATACATTTTAACGCTTATTGTTTTATATCTAAATAAAATTTAAGTATTCTTCTAACTTTGACAGTTAATTTCTAATCTATCCAATAATTATTAAAGTCTTTTATAGTATGTTTTGTTGATATTTTCTGATTTAAAATATATTTATTGATCGATAAAACGCATTACATAATTACCTTTTGTAGCTTTATTTAATCGCATCAATGAGATAAAGCTAAACCATTTTTGATAATATTATTTCATAGGAACTTTTCTTTGTCATATATAATAATTACAATAATATATTTGAATTTTTTCTTTCCAATATCATTCGTACGAAAAATATATGATAATTAATTCTTTATTTAACTTTTGTTACTTTTGTTAGTTGATTTTCAAGAACACTACTGTACTGTAACGATAAATAATAATATTTTAATAATGGTGACCAAGTTGGTGCAAAATTTAAATTATATTCGGAATGTACAAACTTTCCAAATTAAGAGTATAATTTACATTTTAAAAATTATAACTTTTCCGTATCGGTAAGTAATGAAATTACTTACCGATTAACAACGAGAAATCCCAAACTTGTTTGTGCTGACGAGAAAAACGGAAAGGAGTTGAAAGAGATGAAGTAAAACCATGAAAAATTGATCGGGCATGATATTTCATGTTTAGGTGCATCTTGGTGAAGGAACCAGAACACGCGCGGGTCATACATCAAATACCCGAAGGATCCACGCGCGCGCGCGATCGTGCTTTAATATAAAACTTAAATAACGACACACACAAGAGGACGAGGATGCCATGACGAAAATGGCGAATAATCTTATGAATAAGTTCTTTAGCTAGGTTCAACTACGAATACCAAAGCCGCACGAAAATCTGCACCATTAAGTTTTGCGGTGTATCCTGAATCGATGCAAGCCAGATGATTTCATAAATTTATATCTTCAACAGCTAAGATTCTGAAAAAATCGAAATAAAGTTTTGTCAATGTTTATAATTTTATATATTCATAAATTTTATTTAAATAAGTATATACTTTAAGAAATAACGATTTTATACTAACAATAAGTTTAAATTTTAAATTTATCTATCTACCTCATTAATATTTAATATGATTCTATTTTCTTGATTTTAGCATCAAGTAAATACTGCCATATAAAACAAATTGGATTTTGTGCCAATTCCTTGTTGCCTCATAACGAATCGTCATAACTACACTCCGTACTTACTTTATCGTTGATAACTGAAAGAGAAGGGCAAAAAGAGAAAAAAAGAAAGAAAGAAAAGAGAAAGAGAGTTCGTCTTTAATCAAGGTCAAATCCTCATTTGGCACGTTCTCGCTCACGCCATCAAATATAATCATCAGAAAGCGCACCATCTTTTTTCCCTCCTCTGCTTTAGGACTCTTGCCCCCTCTCCTTGCTCCGCAGAAATCAGCTCCCTTCCTTCAGACTCGTTCTCACTCTTTCGAATTGAATCTCTCCGAAAGAGAGGAGAGGGTGAGAAGACGAAGGAGAGGGTTGCCTTGGCAACGACAGAGGGTTTCTCGATGTGGTTGCCGAGGCAACCTGTAACTAGCGACCCCTAAATATGCGCCAGAAACCGCAGAGAAGAGAGGAGGGATTGAAGGAAAAGAGAGACATTTAATAATCGAGTTAAATGAAAGCTTTCCTGAAAAGAAATAACGATGTAAATGAAATTGGAGCAGAAGAAGTGAAGGAGGATGATTTTATAATTTGCGTTTTGGAAAATATAGCTTGTAAATGGATTATATAATTTTGTGTTTAAAACGATCCTGCAATACGTATGTAAAACTTGTACATATATACATGAAAATTCTTTCTGCAAATTAGTTTTCTCACATATATATTCAGACCTGACAAAATTTAATTTTTAAGCTTGATAAAAAAAATAACAGTAACAATAGTATAATATTATATAATTAATATATTTTTATACGAAATTCGCGTTTTTATTTTCTATTAGCTGTCCAATTAACTGAAAGTTCCATTTAACAGTTCTAATTAACTGAAAGTTTTATGTTAAAAATATGTCAACTCCAGAATATTTAATTCTAGCAATTGATAAAGCACGAATAATTTCCTCGGAAACATATAATTCGGAAGAGTTAATTTCAAGGCGACGCGCTATTACATAAAAGTTAGCCTTTTGCCAGAAATTAGGCTGACACTCGTCTCGAGAGACTCGAGCGTACATAATGCGGACGCGGAAAGGAAGGAGCGAAGAGGAAAGCGGCGGGATCCTAATTTACACCGTCGCCGCATCCTCGAAGCCCTTTCCGGCCCAAACGGAACTTTGCCGGCGATTAAAACGCTTTAGTAATTAACTGGGTCTCCTCACCTTCCGCGGGCAGTAGTTATCACCGCCATGCCAGGAGCACTCCGAAACTCCGTTTTCTTCTTCCTCCCTTCCAGCCTCTTGCTTGTTTGCATTATTTAACTCTCTACCGCTCTCTAGAAAGTGGTACTTTTTAGCGAACAATTGTCAACGAAGAATGTAAATCGACGCGTTACAAAAAAAAAAATATATATATATATATATATATATGTATATATACATAAATATAGAGAGACGCGTAAAAACATAATATGCATAATATGCATAATCGCGCGCTTTCAGTTGATGATAAAAAGAAGAACAAGCGAGATATCGTCGATGCGACTAGATTAAATGGAAATATTTAGAGATTATCAGTCGCGCGGATCAGTCAACTTGAAATTTGTTAGAACTGAACTTACACTGGATGGAGAAAAAATTTGATAGAATAAATTTATATGAAGTAAACTCCACTATCTAATTAGTTTACGAGAAAAAAACTGCGCAAACTGTCTTATTTAATTTCGCCGCGTTTTTCCCTCCTTCGAGTTCACCGTCCGCCACTTTTCATATTTTTCCGCATTAAATGTCGGCCCTTTTCAACAGATGATGCTGTAAACTGCGCACGTCAGCTTCATCTCCATCTAATCCTGTTTGGTTTTCATCGATAAACGCCAACCCTTCTCTTTACGCCAGCCTTCTCCCTCCAACGCGAGACGTCCTCCCTTCCTCTTTTCTCCTCTTCACTCCAGACGCGTCCCCTTCCATCCCTCTTTACTTTTCCTGCTTTTCGCACGCGCACACTTACTTTATTCGCCGAGTACTCGGCGGAGTAGAGTTGTGCGATAAAGTCTCGAAGTAATTAGCTCGATGTTTACACAGTTTAACGTTTCTCTCGTATCTACGGCTTTACTTCTACGCACAGCATCTCAATTAACTTATGGCGTACTTAATTAGCCGGGCCGGCACGCCGCGTCGCGACTCGCAAAGCACTTTCAAATCGATCTTGTCGGTTTTGTCGATCACTCTTTCCCAGTAATAACGATCGAGACATTGCACGTCTTTATCGTTCTCTCGTTCTACCAGAAAAAAAATCGCAAAACGCGCGCTCTATATTATTCTGAACAGCCACATTTTTTAGAAGAACACCCTATTAATCTAATTAATCACTTAACCAGTAGCGCAATTTCAAAATATAGATTAACTCTCGCTCGCTTCGATTAACCGCTTCATATAACTGAATTAAATGATATCGCATATTTTTTCGCGATGTGTCTTGATCGTAAAACGTGAATGAAAATGTAATGACTAAGAAAAGTTATAAAATTATTATTACTTATATTGTTATGTGTTCAATTTTTAACATGAACGTTTGGCAAACCTGCGATACGGCAAATGTCGGCTCCGACGTCGACAAATTGAAACTTTAACGTTATCGA